ATCTTAAAGGATAGCTTCAACCTCAGACTGGGGAGGGAGCAGACTGGGTAGACCCAACCCTGCCAGAAATTGCCCGTGTAATTGCAGTTGAATTATTCTTTCTATGTTTCGGTTTTCCACAGGAAATTGTATTTCCTTTTACACTTAGAACTGTAGATCTTTATGCTGTGGGTCACTTCCCACTACTTTTTGTGCAGAATCCAGCGCCATGGGACTAATTTTGACAAGATTATTGAATTATCTTGATCTCACTATCAAATATTTTTATTAAGCTTAATTTCATCCTGATTGTCCTTTATAAGGGCTTCTTGCTGATGCTTAGATCCTTCTGTTACTTGTAGATCTTTATCAGAGAACATTTTTCATGGATTCAATTCCTTTTACTGGAATATAAATTCTACAGTGAAAACTGAAGGATATTACTCCAAACTATTTGTGGGTGGCCAGAGTTGGGGAACCAACAGTTGGGGAACCAACGAGAACCACTCAGGTGTCTACTGGGCTCCCTCTCATTACACAGGTAGCAGAAGGGACAACTGGAGAAGAGAATAATACTATTCCCAAGTGCAGCCCCATAAATCCTTTAAATCATCCCCGCTTTTCCGACATCTAAGGCTCCTCTTCCCAGCAAACATCACCGAGCTTCTTCGCAGCTCTCCGGCAACCCGGTGCTGAAGACCACCCCACGTTTGAAATTCTCAGGGGAAAGCCACTAGGACTGAAATGCAGAGAGTTGTTAGGAGCTTTTCTTTAAGGATTTCCTAATCCCTACCCCTTCTTTGCTCCATTTTCCTTTCCTCTGCTTTACCACTCCCTTCTCCCTCATAGTTTGCACACAAAACTCATACATGCCTAAGGCTTCCTTTCGTAAATCTGTCCTCTTTCCCTCACTCAGACCTCCCCATTTTGACTCTAATTTCTTTACTCCCAGCCCCATGGACCATCCCACCACATGAGAAATGCTCTTTCACATTCCTGACGCTCTCCTGTTCCACCAGCAGCAGCGTGAACGAAATTTCAATCTCACGGTCCAAGTGGAAGCACCATAGCTCCAAAGGCTTCAAAGGGAGCTTGTGGCTTCTATGCCAGCATTTTTTGTGGTAGTCCCTCACTGCTAGTTAGGTCTGGTATCAGCCTTAACCAACCATGCCACTTCACTTTCCAAAGCCAGCCCGTAATTAAAAGAAGGCCAATAGACTCTCAATGATGATGCAATGATGTGTTCTCAGGTGCTCTCCTAGGCACGAGGCCAAAAGCTAAGTTACCATTTATGCAATTTGAAATGAAAGGCATAAAATTAGGCACTGACTAGAATTTCTCATTGCAATTCTTAACCGTTTTGACTTTGCTTTTCCAACAGTCAGCAGGTTTTTCTTCTGAGAAGTCCTTTCAAAAAATAAATTAGATGGCTACTTACCATGACTATCAGTTGACTCAGATGACAGGACATTGCACTTACAAGACCTTTCGTGTTCCTCACTCCTCCTTTTCTATTTCCCAATTAGGCCAGATTCTACTGCCTTTATTCATACTATTGCATTATTTCATAGCTCACACCAGTTGATTTCAGTAGTGACTCCCAGGATAAATTACAGTTTCCATGTGCCAGGATGACCCAAAGTCCTTGCCGAGGGCTGTTCCAGGCCTTTGTCATGACTTTCTTATCCTGTTTCATCCTCCACAAAGCCAGGACTTTCTCACAGCTCGTCACCTGGTTCCCCCAGAATGGGTAGACAAATACCTTCCCGTGTTTACTGTGCTTAATGGGAGACCATTAACTGTGTCACTAACGCGGCGTGTATCGACCATTGCTCTTATGAACTCAGCAACCCCACCACGTACCTATCAGTAAAAAGGTATTTGTTGTCCTGCTTTATATGTGACAGGGGTTGTGTGGGCCAATGCCTCACTGAAACAGGTGTTGTGTTAACATTTCCCATATTTGGGGGATAAAACACACGCTTTCAAGAATGGGTACCAACAACTGAAATGAGAATTCTGAACGTTTATAAGCATTTAAAAGTATAAACCTCTAAGAGTCATGAGAACATCATGTTCTTATCCTATTTCCCTTCAATGAAAGTCCAGCCAATCACCTTTGAGTGCTGTGAAATCCTCACTGGAGCTGGTGCACAAGGTAGAGCTTATTTATGGAGCCCCTTGTAAATCAGTGGGAATCTTTGTAAATATAAATCACAGAGCAAAATCAATTGCTTACTAATCATTGCTCAGGAAGAATATCAAGAGCACAAAGTCGAATTCCCAAAAAATAGGGAATGCCAGAGTTAAGATGATCATGACCTAGTCTGGAAAGGACAAGCTGCTACACTCGAAGCTGCGTAGCCTCAGGGGAATGTGCAGTAACTGGTTACCCCAGTGCCCTATAAAATCTACTCCCAGGCTTTCCACATTTGATATTAATAGGAGTTATAAACAGGCACAGAACCATAACACGAGATTAGCTGTTGTTATATCTGTTTCAGAGATAAACTATCTGACAACCAGTGAAACTGAAATGGAAAACAAGCCTCTAGAGCCGCATTGGCAGGAGCACTGCAGTGGGATACTGGAGAACAGAGTGCTCACAATGGGTAACCAGATAAGGGCAGAGCCAAGTTCTATCCTATTCCACTGCTGTCCTCAAGTGAAGCAGCAGAACAATCAAAAGTGAAGTCCTGCTACTGTTGTCATGTCTCCGCTGTGGTCCCTTGAGGACACAGAATTCCCACCTCTCACCTCTTACCAACAGCAAAAAGCTGTGGAATCATAGGATCTTTTGGGTTGGAAGGGACCCTTAAAGGTCACCTAATCCAACCACCCTGCCACGGGCAGGGACATCTTCAACGAGATAAGGTTGCTCAGAGCCACACCCTGCCTGTCCTTGAATGTTTCCAGGGATGGGGCATCCATCATCATGGCTAGGCTTCCACCACCTTTCCATAGAACAGATACAGTCTAAGGCTGCAGATAAACAAGCAATTGCACTTCTTGAAGTTGCTGTTGCCTCCTAAATTGTTGTTTCTGGCCCTGTGCTGTTGCTTTTGGAGTTTGAAAGATTCAGAGTAGGCCCTGATCAGGTTTAGGACAAATTATTTAGGCTAAAGAATTTACCTGGTTGTCTGCAGTCAGCTGGTCTCGACTGAGTGGAAGCTTCGTTACAAATGTCTCTGCTGGCTGAATTCTAGTGGCAGCTCCTCTCCAGCTCCAAGATGTTGATGAGCACCTTGGGGCAGCAGGAGACTTTAAACTCGATCAGATGAAGCAGAAGATGCAACGAGCACATGAATGGGAAACTTTGCCAACCTTTGAAAAGGCTGGAACACGATTCGGTTGCTAGCTAAAAAGAGAGCAGGCTGTCTTGCAAAGGTGGAGCATTTGCAATTGGGAAGGACTGGATATCTCACTTGTAGGTCACCAGGTGATGAGCTCTCAGAGCCTTCTACCTGTGGGTCACCAGCTGAATTCAGCCCAGCACCAAAATTATGGCCAGGAATTTTAATTATATGTTTGCTTCACATTGGGTGAACGCTTTTCAGGCATTATTTCTCATGTGTGTGTCTGATATCTGGCACAATCAGGCCTTATTTTAGTTGGCTTCCTTAATCAAAGTTTCTGGATTAGTCGTCTACCGGAATTTGGGGTTGAACATAAATTGTTAACGTTAGTAAAAATCACATTCAGTTTTTTTCAGCGCTACTTTAAGCCAAGCTAAGGATCCACATTTTCTATCATATGCACAGTAAAAAGTCAAGGAGAATAAAATCCCCACATTTACCCATAATTTGCAATGCTATCTTTTCCCCAAAAGCCTTTATCGCGGAGCAAGAAGGAAGAGAATTTCTGTTACAGTATTTGAAAGCAGGTTTCATGAATGTTTCTCAGTTTGACAGTAGTACTGGTTCCTCCCAAACAACTCAGCCTGAAACAGACAACTCATAATGTTAAAGTTCAGGACAGTTACAGTTGACTGGAAAAGGGACTCAGAATGGAAATTGTTGTGCAACTGCTACGTTATGACTTGCTGCCGGATCTGAAGACAATATTAAAAGTAGTCATTTTCTTCTGATTGATCTTGTACTCTCTTATCCTTCTGCAGAATGACAATGGTAACCTCTAAATGATAGCATTGCTTGGAGTTTTCTCATTTCTTTTTGCACAGAAACAAACACGCTGTATTCAAAGGCACAAAATTCTTGGAATTCACAGCACTTGGTGAAACTGAAGGTGATCAAACAAGCACTGGCTTAATAAATTCTGATATGCACATATATTCCAGCAGGGAATATTCTGTGTTTTACTTTGGTGAAAGCAGAGTCCCGGCACACTTAATGTTCTACTGTTTTCTCATCCAAATCTCTTCTGCCATATCAAATAGGTCACTGTGTGGAAATCACAGCCATGTTTTAAGTAGATTGTGTTAACTTTATGAATGCGTCATAAAATGGGAACTCCATAACTCTGTATTGACACTGTTTTAATGTTGCAATTTACCATTCTAATGGCACTATTTAGGAAACAATGACTGAACTGCAATGAGATAATTAAGGAATAATCTCCATTACTTCAAAGTATACAAAGCAGTAAACAGCTGCCAAAAGTGATTAATAGCTGAGGTGAAGTTAAGACATCTAATCAATCTAATAAACCATTTATTGCAAGAATATAGCAGCTTACACTAAATGTGAGACATTTATCTTATTGATACAAACTGCAGTATTTGCCTTTCTTTAGGATGTAATATCACGAGACCTTGATTATTCTTCCATTAAAGTCAAGGATAAAACTCCCATTGTGATCCCAGGGTCAAGCCTTCACTGAGCTGATACCAATGAAAATAAATGCTTCCTTTTAATGTAGAACAGTTCTGCTAAAACATTTTTTTCCCCCTATTATAAAACATCCTGTGGCATTGAAAGGGGGATATGTTTTACTGGCAAGGACAAATGTCAGGAGTCATGATGAAAACCTGGATCTTCTTCTAAGCTGGTACTGTAATTCCCTGCAAAGTATTGTTTTGTCTGTGCCTCCACCTCGGATCTGCGACAGGGAGATGAAACCATTCCTTGTTCCACAGGATTATTCGGGATTTAGTTCATGTAGCATACAAAGAAACACAGATAGAAGATACTGTACACACTTCACAGTGTTCCTAAAGTAAAAACAGAAAAGATACATGGATTGCAACAGCTATCTCATAACTGGCACAGGAATGGGAGTAGTGGGGGTGGAGAGGCCGAACCCATGCTCAGGGGAAGGGACCTGTTTCCAATGTTACAGCAGTGCTGCCAGTACAGCTGAGCTTCCTCAATTTCCATTTGGCTTCCCAATGCCCTGCAAGAGCGTGGACTTTCTACAGCTCCAAGTGTGCCATCAGTATCTTGCTTTTCTGCTCTCCACTTTAGTCTGGAGGGGTGAGGGAGCTGCATTGCAGCAGCAAAGGGACAAGCACAGGCAGAGACAGCCTCTTCTGGCACATTCTCCCACCCTACTTCCCCCCCAGACAGCAGTTCCCCCTCTAATCTGAAGTAAGCACCCAGTTCCTTCATCAGCTGAACATACACAGTGAGCTGTTTGACTGGAATTTTATAAGACGAGTTGCAGAAACAATCTTACCAACATTAAAATCATACATACCACATTGGCTCAAGGTGAACATCGCATTTGTCAAGCCTTGCAAAACGTGCTTTTCATCAGACAAGACGTTTCTATCTCCTCATCCCTGCATAGAAAAGAGGCACTGGAGCACATGTTCTCCCACCACATGCTATAATTGCTCTTCCCCTGAGAAGAACTGGAAGATGTTCTTAGTGCTGGATGACTCTTGAACTTGCTCTGAAGCAATTCCTTTGTCTTAGTGCTAGCAGGAAGCTCCTTTGGTTTTCCCCAAATATAAATATTGATACAGAAACTCATACCAAATAATAACAGAGGTATGAATTTATTGTTTCAGCAAAAGCTCCCATGCAAATTGACCATCGGATAATTAAAGATGCCTGCAGTGCCTGGGCGGGTAAAAGATCAAGCACTTGCTGGATTACAACATAAGCAGTGCTGTGATAAAGCTGCATAATAACTCAGGAGCAGGAGCTCCCAGCCTTCACAGGTAGCAGGGCTAATTCCATCAGCCAACATGTACCAACTCCTGTTCATCTGTGCCCGATCCAACCTGCAAGGGACGGTTTGGAGCAGCAAGACTCTTGTCTGGAGGAGCCAAAGCCAAACAGCAGGTTGAAACTTGTACAACTGGATGCAATGCAAGCAGTGGCATCGCACTCGCTCCCTGTGCAAGTGTTTGTCATAGGAGTAGAACGGGCAAACCTAAAATACAAGTCCCAGAAACCTGCAATACTGGTATCTCTGCCTGTACTGAAGTTTAGGGAGTGTTAGTTTTGGAGAGAGAAAGCGCAGGTAGATTTTGAATCACTTTTTCTACACTGAAAAAAAAAACCACATCAATTTGAAGACTCACAGCAAAATGTTCAAATGTGTTAACTGTGGGAATGTAACAAGGCCCCAGAGATTTAAGTCATTTTCCCCAGGAACTGGCTGTGGCACTGCTGCTGAGCAGAAATTCCTCAAGGCTGGGCCTGTAGTCTTCCTTCACGGTAAAGCACTGCAAGAAGAACAGCTGCTTAAATTGCTGGGATTAAACAAAGTGGTCATTTCTGCAACCCCGTTTGGTAGCTGAAATGAATCACAGAATCCCAGAATGGCCTGGGTTGGAAGGGACCTTAAAGACCAGCTAGTTCCAACTTCCCTGCTATGGGCAGGGACATCTTTCACTAGACAAGGTTCCTCCAAGCCCCATCCAACCTGGCCTTGAACACTTCCAGGGATGGAGAGTCAATACCATGGGTTTGCTACTGTTAAGTAAAACTGTTCTGACATACATTTATGAGGGTTTTTTAAATGCACATGGGCAGTAGCTTTCCCTTTTTTAGGGCAAAAAGAAGATAGTCGTAACCAACATTACTAAAATTCATGTTGCCTGGGTCTATGCCAGTAACGGAAGGATTTTCCCCATTTAGGTAATTAAATTTAAAATTACATTTGTCCTTTTCGTAGCAAGGTTGCAATAGAGGTTTGTATATGCATTAGAATTCACTTTTTCTAGGAGCGAAAGGCGGTTGCAATTCCTTATTTATGTTAAATATGCCACCATGTTTTCTCAAAGGTTTTCTCTTGGTTTTACACTATGACAGGCCCACAAAAGAGGCATTATTTGGAGTGGGCTCTGGCTTATGGCAGGTACTGAGGAGGGTGGGAGCAGGGCAGGCACACCACAGTTTATCTCCTCATGGACCAGCAAACAGCAGCACTGGGAATTCCTGGAGAGCCAGACATGCCTTTTAGGAAAAAGACAGAGAGTACTTGCTCTGGGAGAAGCAGCCAAGCCTGTACCTTCTCAGTACCAGAGAGACATGGAATTCCTGGAACGAGTTCAGTGGAGGCTACAAAATTAAGGGACTGGAATATCTCTTGTACAAGGAAAGGCTGAGGGAGCTGGGCCTGTTCAGCCTTGAGAAGAGATGGCTGAGAGGAGACATCATCAATATCTATCAGTATCTGCAAGGAATGTGCCAGAGAGTGGACCAGGCCCTGCTTGGTGGTGCCCAGCAGTAGGACAAGAAGCAATAGGCAGACACTGATGCACAGGAAATTCCACCAGAACATGAGGAAGAACTTCTTTACTGTGCTGTGACCACGCACTGGAACACTGTCCAGAGAGGTTGTGGAGTCTCCCTTACCGGAGACATTCCAGAACCATCTGGACACAATCCTGTGTCGTGTACTCTGGGATGACGCAGCTTGAGGAGTGAGGTTGGTCCAAGTGACCCTCTGTGTCCCTTCCAACCTGACCCATTCTGTGATTAGAGCTACACGTTTGCCTCTGGAAAACACACTTCATGGCCACCTGCAAAAAAAACACCTCACTCCCCACATCTCCTAAGCAGATGATTTATACCTGGTCCCGACAGGTACGTTAACATTTATTAACATCAAATAAACGTGAACATTTGTTAATATTTATTAACAAAAATATTAACATTTGCATCCAGAGAAGGGCAACGGAGCTGGGGAAGGGTCTGGAGCAGCAGGAGCTGCTGAGGGAGCTGGGGGGGCTCAGCCTGGAGAAGAGGAGGCTCAGGGGAGACCTTGTTGCTCTCTACAGCTCCCTGAGAGGAGGTTGTAGCCAGGTGGGGGTCAGTCTCTTCTCCCCGGTAAAAAGTGACAGGATGAGAGGAAGCGGGCTCAGAGAAGGTTTAGGTTGGACATTTGGGAGAATTTCTTCCCCGAAAGGGTGACTGGACATCGGAACGGGCTGCCCAGCGAGGCGGTGGCGTCCCATCCCCGGAGGGCGTGTAAGGAAAGCCCGGACGTGGCGCTGAGTTGACACGGTGGCGCTGAGCCCCAGGTCGGACCCGACGGTCCCGCAGCTCTTCCCCAACCAAAACAACCCCGCGACTCCCCGATTTATCTTTTCCCGCGCACCCTCGGGCGGGAAATGGCGGCCGGGCCGAGCCCAGCCCTGACCCTGGCCCACCCGCCGCCCTCACGGACCCAAGCACCGCCCGCCCCCCGGGCGCTCCCCTCCCCTTTTGTACCGCACGCGTGCCCCTCCCCCGACGGCCGCCCCGTTGTTGGACCGCGCTTCCCGGACGGGCGCTGCGCTCCCGCCCCTCGCCTCGGACCCGGCGCGGGCGGGGCCGGCGCGCTCACGGGGCTCCGGCGCGGCCGGCGTGCGACAGACGACGGCGGCGGGACAAGGAGGAGGAGGAGGCCGCGCGGTTGTGGCGCAGACGCGGAAGCGGCTCGGGCCCCTTTCCCCTCCCTCCTCCCTCGCGCCGCGCTCTCCCTTCCTCGCACGCCCACCGGGAGAAAAACGCGGGGGAGAGAGGGAGGAGAGGAAGAGGAGGAGGAGGAAGGGGGGCGGCCGAGGCAGAGCGGCGCGGAGGAAGGGGGAGCGCGGGAGATGAGATAAGCGCGGGGCGGGCGGCCGGGGTGGTGATGTAGGGGGGCTCAGGTGTTATGACGGTGGCGGCGTGAGCCGCGGGGGGAGGCGCGGAGCGGAGCGCAGGGACGGGGGCTCTTTCCCCGCCTCGGGAGGGCGGCGGGCCGGAGGGGGCTCGGAGGGGAGGGGGGTTGGGAGTGGGAAGCGCTCGGAGGGGCTTCCCGGAAGGGTAATTGGATTATCCCGGTATTGGTTTTTTTTTTTTTATTATTATTATTTTTTTCTTTTTAAGGGGGGGAGGGGTTGCGCTGCTTCCCCCCCCTCGCCGCCGCGGAGAATTGGCGCCGGGAGGAGGAGGAGGAGGCGGCGGTGGCAGCGCGGTGCTCCCCCCTTCACCCCCACCCCCTTGGCTTCGCTCCTGGAGGAGTTAGTTGGGGTGGTTGTTTTTTTTTTTTTTCCCCTTGCCTTTTTTTCCAGTTTTTTCCTTTTTTTTTTTTTTTTTGTTAATTTTTTGTTTTTCTTAAATACGAACCCGCGTATTGATTTTTTTTGATTTTTTTTTTTTTGAACAAACAAACAAACCAACCAACCGCCCCGCCCCCCCTCCCGCCCCCGTCCCCACTCCCGCCCCGCACACACGCCTGCCTCTGGGAGGGAAATAGCCAGGTGGAATCTCACTCTGTTTCCATGGACAACCCGTCCATTATCACCCAGGTGACTAACCCCAAAGAGGAGGAGATCCTGTCCTGCACTCAGGATAAAGGTGAGCTGCCTTCTCTCTTTTCTTTATGATTATTCCCCCCCCCCCTCCGCTTAAAATCGCATTCTTCAGTGACCGTATAATCCTCTCTAGGCTACTGGGAATAGAGGAGGGCTTGTTGGGTTTGGGTTGGTTTTTTGCTTGTGGGGTGAAGGTATTTGCATGAACGTCTCTGAATTTGCTTACTGGATACAGCCGAGAACTTGTTAGAGTGTTTAAATGCCAAGTTTAATCGGTCATTTAAATAAAATCACTCTCGTTCCTCGAGGTTTGGGGAGGTAACTTTGTACGGTGGTCACTGTGCCGTTAGTGCCCCGCTTCAGGGGAGGGATACCTGTGCTGGGTGTGTTGGAACGCTTTGAAATCTCAGCTGTTAAGATTTTAAATTTTTTTTTCCCTCCTTTTTTCTTTTTTTTTTTTTAAAGCAAAATAAAAAATTCCAGTTTTCTTTCTGCTTTCCTGTGTTCTTTCCTGCCTCACATTTCAGAATGTGTAGCTTTCAGGTTTGTTGGAGGATATTTGTGCTTCTCAGGAGGAGATATGCGCTACTTTTAAAAGCGGCTCTGTTTACTCGGTAGATAAATAGTTGTTGCCTGCGTAAGGCATCGTGCCTGGATTGCGTTTTGCTCCTAAATGAGATGAATCCAGCCTGGCCGAAGGAGGTGCTTCTGTCAAAAGTCTGGGTCTTGATGAGTGCCCTTAACCTTGTCTCTTTTTGGAAGCTCCGAGCGGTCTTGGGGCTTTAAGTGGTTGTGTCCTTGCGTCTGGTGGTGGGCAAGGTACGGGGTGAGCAGCAGGGTTCAAGTTCTGGGGAGCTGTGTGTGGATTTGAGAAGTTACTTGGATGTCAAGTTTATGCTTCGTTGCAGGCAGTCCTGGTAAATAGGGGAGAAAGGACAGAAATTAGAAATAGTGTCCATGTTCCCTGGTAGGTACAGTAAAACCTTTGAGTGGTCTTCTAAAAATGGTAGATTGATATACCTCGCCCTAAAATGGATGGATTTCGTGTCCAAAAAGCTTCCATTTTTGTGTGGCTCGTCTTGTAAATAGGGAGGGGTCCCATATTGTTGAAGTTGCTCTCTGGTACTTTTGACTGAGAGGCCGTACCTGAAATATCTCTCTTCTCACTTCATTGGTGCTGCCTGCAGAAGTATGAAGGTATATTTATTAAAAAAAAAAAAAAAAAGCCACGAGGTTGGGGGGTTGTTTGAACAAAAAATTATTTATTTGTTCAGCATAGGAGTGTTCATGGAACTCTCTTTAATTCCTGTCACTTGTGAGGTGATACTTCCACCACGAGGCCTGGTTTGTCTCAAGGGATTTGTCTTGTTTTCCTCTGTTTTGGCAATGTGGAGCGTGGAGTACCTACAGTAAGGTGCTCTGCTCTGCCTAAGACTTCGTTTGGGGTGGATGTGCGTGATACTTTGCTCAGATGTTGTCCTGGTCTTAATGGTCTGTGTTGTTGTAAGCAGTGGAAGGGCTTCATTAGTGTCACTAGCAGCTGGTTGAAGTTTGAGTGTAAAAAAAGGCAGTTGAGACAAGTAGGGGAAGATTTGACAGCTCGAAATAAGAGTAACCATCCACATCAAACAAGTGGCTTCAGAGTCCTTGGTAGAGCGAGCAAAAATATGCATCTAACTTGCATAACTCTGCAGTAACTTGCATAATGTGCATTGTGTTCTTGCTATTGGTTTGTCTTTGGCAGAAAATGGTCTTCGTTGCAGAGTAGGGGCTTTTCAGGCTGTGCCTTAGCAAGGCTGGGTGGGGGGAGAGGGGAAGGAAGGGGGAGCTGGAGTTGGGAGACAAGGGAACTCCAGCGTCGTCTTCATGCAGGAGGTGAATTACCTTTTTTTCTGGTTTTGGGGTGGTTTTTTTTTTATTGTGGTTAAAGTGCATGCATTGGTTTGAGGATGTGCTCTGTGGTGAGACTGTCAGATCACTCCAGAGCAACTTTTGCAGGAAGAGAACTGCGGGTCTGTCCGTGCTGGGCTCTGGAAGGAGCGCGCTGCTTGCTCCAACCTCTTCCACTACAGGTTTTCCCAGTGCTCGAGGTACGGAGCTGGTGAAAACCCGTTGCTCTACCTGCCTTCCTGGCGTGGTTACATATCACGTCACCCAGTTTTCTGTCGGATTTCTTCACACTTCTAGCAAAGCCTTTAGGTCCGGAGAGCTGGGAGAGCGCCCGGAGCAGAGATGGGAATACTGATAAGGTTCCTAGCAGGAGACCGGGTGTTGAGCGAGTCCTCCCTGCTAATTCTGAGTGAACTGAATGTACTGGTACAAAATGGCTAACAAATATGTTGAGGCATCGTGAATTAACTCTTTGTTTAACGAAATCAAGGATCACCTGAGCCTTAAGTCTGAAATACAGCAGCTCTGTGCTGTGTGAGCCAGGGCTGTCCAGTTTAATGAAAACCTGTTTTTTTTCCTCCGAGTTTAGTGTTTGGCTGCAGAAATAAATTCCAGGGTACTAAGTGGCATGTGGTGGTTTTGGGGAATCAGTGTTTTCTTAGGGTTTTTGAGACCTTCTGTTGCTGTTTCTTGAGGGGGAAAAAATGAATTTATTTTCCTGTTGTTGAACTGGAGAGAAGCAGTTTTACAGTAACTGAGCAGCTGCTAAATAATGCATGTGTCTACCTTCAAGGTTTTGATTTTTCTCCCAAGATTTTTTTTTTTGAAGCTTTTAATCAGATGTGAGTCCAGCATTTAGCCTGATTTATTTTTTAAAAATGTATTTATGTTTTAAAAGGAGATCGATGTGCAGTACAGGCTTATGCCAAATTTCTCCTGTGCAAGGGAGCGCCGTTGGCAAGAAACAGAGCTGGTTCTCTGGTCCTGGGGCACTTCTGTTTTTAGGTAAATAACAAGCTTTACGAATAAAAATGCCCAAGTATTTTCTTGCTAGCCCAGATGTATTAAAAAGTAGCTCTTGAGATAAGTGAAGCTGTGACACCTTGTTAAAGGGGAGCATTCTAAGATGGATTTGTTAATGTTTATTTTTTACCAAATTGCAGCAAATTTTTGAAGGTGGAAAAAGCCAGATCTTGGTATGTGAACCATTCCCTGATATGTTGCCACATGGTGGTGCACTGGATTTAGTTGTCTGTCAAAATGAAAGCTGAGCATGGAAGGTTTGCTACAACCATATTTTTTTATTATTATTATTGTAATGTTCTCAAATGCCTGTGGTGTTCGTGCTGCTGGAGGATTTTGGTCCCTTCCTATGTTGTCAAATTAGTTCTGGGAAACAGAAACTTCGGTTCTCCCAGCTAGCAGAGATTTGTAGGTGCTTGAAAATATTTTGAACACTGAATCCGCAGAGAATTTAATTCCCTGTTAGTTGTTTAAGTAACAAAAATAGTAGTTCTTCGCAGAAATATTTTATGTTGTGATCGTCTGGCACTTCTGGGAATTGGAAACATAACCAAGACTTGTAATTTGAAATTAAAATGGAGACATAAATACGTGAAAGGGGGTTTGTTATAAGAGAGATAAGTGTGAGCAACTAAGAAAAAATATAAATAAAAACTACAAATGAAAAATGAAAATCTGATGGTTTTCTGTGTAATTAATTCTACAGATAAAATCAGCTGTTTATTTTCTAAAGGGAAGCGTTAATTCTTATTATTAGTTGAACAGAGCCCTGTAATGCAAGATCTATATGGTTAAATGTATAGAAAACAGAGCAGTGCTGACGGGCCCTTGCATTGAGTGTAACATCGAGAGCGTGGTCATGGATGGGCTGCAGACATTCAGCCCAAAGAAGGGAATTTCCCTTTTTTTACCTAAATGCTTTAATTTGATCCTCATAAATGATGCAGGTTCTTGGCTGTTTCCATGTGCCAAGTTAAATAGTGGCGTAATACTAGCCCAGTCCTTCAGGTACCTCCTTCAGGCTGTGGTGGTTTGTTTTCTCTCTTCAGATAAATCTTTCCTGGCTTCTATAAAAATTGTCAGCTGGGCATGTATTTTCAGTTGTTTAGAGTTTAAACTGAATGCTTTAGTGTCCCTACAAATGTGTATTTTCTTATGCAATAAATTATATGAAAGAGGTTCACAGTGGAACCTAAACCATTGTAATTTTTTTTAATCACAGTGAGTCCCCAAGGATGTTTCCACAAACAAACTTTTTTGCCTTCTTTTCTTTCAAATAAAATTGGAATAACCACCAGCGAGAGCAATATTCGTTATGATTTTAAAGAAGAAGTTCTGGAGATCTCAATTTAGAAGCCAAAATAAGTGCCTTTAACTGTGTCTTCAATAAAAGAAAAGCATTTTGAAAATAGCTGAAAATATTTTGAATGCACTTTTTTACCATTACATCGCCAGGATTCAGAGCACTCAAACATTTGAACATATGTTAATGATCCTGAGACATTGTCTCAACAGATTTTTATAATATTAACTTCAGAATCTTAGTGTTAAAGTAGCAATTTAAGGAGGGGGGAAAAAAAAGTTGTGGAAACCACTCGGGCACTGCAGTGGAATGTGAATTGCTCGCAGAGGGTAAAATTTTAAATCATTAACTAATGGCATAGCTGTTATATGAAACCAGAGTAGCCATACAGTAGGTTTTATGTTCCAAGGAGACTGTAGTAACCTGTAGTAACCCAAGATTTGATTTAAGGTCGCATTTAATGGGCTGAAGTGCCCTGGCAGTAACAGGAATGATAATTTTCATGAATATCGAATTTTCAGTCGGTGTCTTTAAGCTGCGGCGCGATCATTTCTTCGTGGTGCCACCTCAGTTCATGCTGGTTTCAGTGCAGTGATTTAACTGAAGTGTTCCAAAGTTTAATGTGCCTTTAAAAAACAAAACCCAAAGTTGACCTACATTTTGTCAATTCAGTATTCAGAAATGCAAATAGCATTTTCTGACATAATCAGTAAAATGCGGCGTGATCGATGCTGCGCTTCAGCTTTCAGAGTTTAAGCTGAACATTACAAACAAGCCTCGGGATAACAGGTCCATGTTTGTTTCTTTAAAGGGACGTTAAACTAAAA